GGAAGAAAAGTGGGGCAGAGGACGAGGAAGGTCACCCTGACTGATTGAGCTGTGTGGGATATGTTTTGAAGGGTGTGTTTCTTCTCTGTGGGAAGAGGGGGGTGTAAGGGTGAAGGGTCTCGTAAACCGTGAGTACGTGGCTGCAACCTTGCAGAAATTGTTTCGTCGCCTGCTCCGGAAATTTCGCGGCTCCAGCCTACTGGACTACAATGGCTTGTCTCCAGCCAAATAATAAAAAAGTGCGCCGCACCTCCAGGCCTGTGTGTACTGGTGGTTTAACGGACAGCCTGACATGCTTACTATATAGTATTTGAAATTTTGAACCCATCCTCAGAAATAATTCCTGATCTCCCTATAGTCTAGACCATACCCATCTGCAAACACATCCCCTTGTTCTTTTGTGTTTTGTTTGTTCACTTGCGTTGGGTGCATTCAGAATCTTTTCAAATTCTTTCTACGGAGTATGGTGATGTCGTGTTGCCACCATAGCTTGCCAGGGTAAAAGCAACCAGACTGATGGTCCCTAGAATGGAAGAGTAGTGAGGATGATGAGGACCTGTTTTATTTCATTCTCTCTCTCTCTCTCTCTCTCTCTCTCTCTCTCTCTCTCTCTCTCTCTCTCTCTCTCTCTCTTTGTCTCTCTGTCTTCACACAACATTTCAGTCCTGTTTGAAATTCCCTGTGGATGTTTTAACTTTTAACTGTGGGGTGCCGATGACGCCCAACTGGTAGGTGCCGACCAGTCAAGGGCTGCCGACCGGTGGGGTCGCGTTATGCAACCCTGAGAAAAAGATTATTAAAGAAGAAACGGAAATCTGTGTGAAGAGATTTAAAAACTATGGCAGCTCTTGCCTCCCTTTCGTGACAATGGATGGTAGGTTGGTGGGAAGTTGGGATTGTGATTGTGCTACTGAATGCTGCGTCCTCTCCTGATTCCTTCCTCTCAACCTCCCTTCTCCTGCCCAGTTTGACAGATCATGAGCACGATTAGCTAATAACCTGCACCAGTGGATACTTGTTGCATAACCCAGCAGTGAAGAGAGAGGTGGTTCAGGCGTGCAGGGAAAAAAAAGAGGAGGAACATTATATGTTTTTTTGTCGAAGGGGGGGGCCTGCAGGGTGCCAACAAGGAATGACAAACAGGTAGGCGTCATCAGGACCTATGGTGTCGTATCGCATGGTAGTTGTAGGATCTGTTACCTCCTCTGCTTCCTATGTTCATCACCCAGCTTCCCTCTTCCCATGCTTACTCTCCCCTCTGAAGTTCGCCTCCCACCC